CGGGACCGGTACTGTTCCAGCCCGGCCCGAACTGGTGGCCCGGCCAGTGACCGGTCCGGGTAGGCCCGACCCGAGGAGTTTCCGGTCCGGGCTCGGGTCACCCAAAACATGAACCGGCCCGGCCGGTCCGGGCCCGAGCTTTTTTTTTTTGCTTTTTTTTTTTTAAATCCCCGAGTTGGGTTGGGTATTTTGGGCCATTTGGGGTGGTTTGGGGGGTTGGGGGTGGGTAATTAGAAAAAGGGAAAAAAAATGTAAGAGGCCTGAGGCCTGGCCCGGACCCAGACCGGACCCGGTGGCTACCCGGGCTGCTCCCGGGCCCAACATTTCCTAACCGGCGGTCCGGTCGGGCCTAGGCCCGGCCCGAGTCCACCACTAGGCAACATAGAATAAAAGTGGAAAATGAGGATCAAAACACTTTAAGTTGTCTTAGGTTTTCAAGCTCAAATAATTTTAGTATCTAACTAAACACAAATCAAATTATATGGATTGCATTTGTGATCATGTGAATGTTAGATAAACATATTATATATATATATATATATATATATATATATATAAAGAAATACTATATATATAGAGAGAGAGTATGGATCAAATAAAAAGTGCTTCCTGGGTGAAAAATAAGAACTAATCTTGGCCATGGATATGAAAACAAGGATGGAAAAGATCAAATTATAAGTAAAAAACGCGGTGGCGTTTTGGTAATTATGAAGAACTTTTAATAAAAAAAAATTTACGAAAAGTGTACCAACATATGCAAAAAGTGTACATGCAGAGTTAAAAAGTGCATAACGGTACTTCATAAAATGTGCACAAATTTTAAACAAATGGCAATCTTTTTTAACTCTTACGAGTGCACTTTTATTCATTTAATATCCACTTTGTACTATAAACGTTTGCACATTATTTGAGTCAATGTCTTGTGATTAAAGTTCATCCAGTCCATCCATTTACAAGTGATTAAAGGCTAAGATTTGTTCTCACTTTTCATGGGAAGATTACTTTACTTGAACCAACCCCAGGGGTGAGTTCTAATAAAAAGAGGTCTTCCCATGAAAAGTGAGAAGTGATCTAAGCATTTGATTACTTAAAAATGGATGAAATAGATCAAAACTCACGGTAAACCAAATTGTGTAATACATAATAGTAAAAGTGCATATGTCATATGTAAGAGTACAAATTCAGCTCCTAAAAAAATACTAGTAACATAAACCAAGTATATATGTCATACATACTTGTTATTTTTTTCTCGGAAAGGGATGCACTTTTGTGTTACTCCAATGCACTTTTTCTCCATAATCATGCACATTTATCATTTACACTATTGGCACTGAATTTTCTAATATTTACATTATTGGCACCGAATTTTCCACTTTAAAATTGATCTGATCCCGCCCACCCAATTTTCTCTTCCAGCTACCCCACCGAAGTCGAAAGTTATTTAGTCACGAATTCTTCTATATCTAACTATGCCACGATTAATTTTCCATCCAGGTAATGAGGAAACAGCCCTTGCAAAGGAAACATCCCTTGAAGAGGTTTTGGATGCATGTTTTAATGCAAGCTTCATCGCGGGAAAGTAAGAATCTCCTAAGCGGTATATTTGTTTCTTTCATTCTTAAAATCTTTGAAAATCATAAAAGAAATCTCATAAAAAACTTTTCAAAATGCATTTGTGTTGTATGTCATTTATTTGCTTGTTCACCTCAACTATATTCTATATCAACCGTTGCTAGTCAATCTCTTTAGTGGTAGAATTAGAATGCATTTGTGCACATCCTATAAAACTGGGCCCTTGATTAAATATTTCCAAAAACACTTAAACAATATATTTTACAATATGGTAAAAAAAGTATTAAATTTAAAAGTTCAATGAAAAGGGTATTAAATTATCAGTGAATGTTCTTTTTGTAATGATGCAGGTACGTGAGCGAGCAGTCACGTGCGGCAAGAAGGCCGTCACGTGCGGCAAGAAGGCATGACTAGCCCTTGCCTTTCTTTTCCCGCTTTTGTATAGTCTCTGGCCGTGCTTGTTTACTAACAGAAAAATATTTCTGTTTTCAAGTCTTCAGTTTTCTATTTTTCGTTTTCCAGATTTTTGTTTTTCAAACCAGAAAACATGTTTACCAGAATTTTTCAATTTTCCATTTTATTTTTTTCCAGAAAATGTTGACCTAATAATTGGAAAAGAAATGCGCAATTACAAACATTAGAAATAACACAAAAAATTAACGTAAATGGTCCTCAACACTGAAAGTTCAATAAGTGACATTATGTTAATCAGAACAACGTTGTAATCATCCCATATTGCATTTGCAATGCTTTCTCGAACTTCATGCATTTGTTGTTGTTGAGACATATCAAATTTGAGTGATCCAATTTCACTTGTACTTGTTGACGGGTTAAATATCATATCCTCTTGCTCGTACTCCATGAACAAACGATCGTTCCTATCTTGCATGCGAATGAAGTTATGCAATGTGCAACAAGTAAGACGCTCACTTGTGAATGATACCAAAACAACAATTACAAAATTACAGCAAGCTATACTTCTATTAGGAAAAATATGGTATCACTTATAATTAAAAAAATTATTTCACTATTCTAAAGTTAGAATCGAAAGGTTTCCCCTTCATATTAAATGTTTCGAGAAGAAATTTTGTTCCCACAGTGTGCATCTGGTGCAGCAGCACCTTCTATCGGGAGGCCAGAGAATCTGGCATACAAATTTCCAGCTCACAACTTAACTATAAGTCTATAATCACTCTCACCATCACCCTTAATGGCTTAATCTAAGAAAAGTTCATACGTTCACATTGATATAGAAAATCAATATATGCAAGGCCAGCCTTAAAAGACAGATTAGTCAAAGTCTCCACCTCAAGAAAAGCTGCACATGCATTCAGTGCAACAAAGATAAAACTAAGACTCAAGGCATTTTACTTCACTTCTACTAACAATACTTAATGTTTACTTCCCATTTATTTAGTTACTAGATTTTACACGCGCGTTGCGCGATTGAGTAGATGTCCAATGATTGATATAGGAAATATTAACCAACGAAATATTCCAAATGTGATTAAAAGGCATAAGCTCTCATGAATAAAGTGATTTGATTTCTACTTATACTTTGTATTATTTTTAAGAAAATGCAATATCATCCTTTACGTAAGAAAGTGAGTAATATTTTTCAGAAAGTGAGTAATATTTTTCGTGACTTGCACCGGGTCTCCTAATTTATTGAGCCGGCCCTGATGACACATGATCAACCTCCTGATTGTGTATATGTTTCTGCAGTTGAGTTGAAACCTATTAGAAAAAAGCATTAAAAGACAAATGAGTCGAAGGAAAGTTTAAATGGTAATCAAGTTATCTGGTAAAAATGCTCTAGTGTAAACTGAACCATGTGAGATGAAGCATCCACACAAAAGGATGATTGACCCAAACACTACGATATACTACGTACTTTTTTGCTGCAACACATGGAAAGAGATGAAGCATCCACGCAAAAGGATGATGTGTGTCACTAGAAGTGAGTCAAGTGACATTTTTGTTATCTCTTTGTGGCCCACTTTCATTGTTGCTATTTTTGGTTGACTCTTTAACCCAAGGACGACGAATAATAGGTTAAAAATGGATGATCCAAGTATAGTGTGCATGCGTAACACAACTTACTTTCATCCATTTTTCTAAAAGTAAAACTAAACCAACAAAAAACAATATAGTTGTGTTTGTACAAAAATGAAAGAAAATAGTTTTTTATCCATTCTTAATTTCATCTCTGTTTTTTCACTACTTTCTATGCTGAGAAACTTTCATGCTCCAAATTTCAGGAATATAATATTCTGTCATTATAATAACATACTTGACAAGATCTGAAAATTGTACAGTATTAAGGATCTTTAGGCTTGAGCAAAGAGGTGTTACATTTTGACAAGAATGAAACTATACGGGAAGGACTAACATATTCATTGTATCGGAGGCAACAAGTCACTCTTCCTCTCTTTGTATGTCCACGTGGTTTTCCTTTTTGTCATAGTACAAAAAGTATAAAAGAGATAATAAATGATACTACTGATTGTCTATGGTTTTTTTAATGACAAAGTCTAAAAGTAGCATAAGTGGCTTACTCTTGCATTTAGCTATAAGGTTCTTTTAAAATTGAAAAGTCTTGTTTTTTCCCTTACCCCTTGCTATTTTTTGCTGCTCTATGTATGTTTTTTTCTTGCAAAAAGTAACTCAATTAATCATATGATAATAACCAGCACACAAACTGAATGATATTTTTATACGGATCGGAGTACTTTATTGTACAGAAGACTACAATTCAATATAGTACTTTGATTCGTTTGAGGGTTGAGCAGCTGTAGTTTTATTTCTTTATCACTAAACTCTAGTGCTGAGCAGGGCCGGTCCTGTCTATTTTCGGGCCTATGGGCGGGATAATATTTTGGGCTTATATTCAAGATAAATAATAAACTATATTTATTTAAAATAGTAATTATAAAAAAATTATCCAATAAAGGTCATTAAATAAAAATGAAACTCATTTTATTATTATTATTTAAATTACATATTTGGTGAAAAGTAACAACACAAGTATCACATAAAAAGAAAAACATTACTTAAAAACGTTTCTCGCAGAATTTTCAAGATTCAATTTCTTAACAAAAACAAAATTTTCTATTGATCCCCGCTCACTTAACTTTATCTTTTCTAATCTTCTTCTTTTTCTTTCTCTCTTTATCCCAACCTGATTCGCCAATTTTATCAAGAATAATTTATTGATCATAGATGGATTGTTTGAAGCCTTGAAAGAAGAAGTTTTTTTTTATCATCGACCGCCGTTTGGGCTACTTGATTGATTGACTTCAATTCTTAATAAACCGCTGAGGCATTCACCGCTTTGCAGCGTTCTTTACTCTTGTTGATATTGGAATTTGGAAACAACAAATCAATTTCAATAGGTTTACGAATTGGGAGTTTTGGACTTTGGTGGCCTAACATAACTTGATAAGTTTGTAATTAAAATGATTATAAAACTTAGAGATGCCAAGTGAATTAAGAAAGACATGTCACTTTACATTTATTTTAAAAATTAAACCTTGAGCCAATTAAGAAAGAAAAAGAAGCCTACTCACACTACATACAAAGAAATATTTTTGGGCCTATTTTTCCCCTCTATTTTCTCGGGCCTAGGGCGGTCGCCCCTGTTGCACCCCCCTAGGGCCCATATTCTACTTGCATGTGCCCATATTCTGCTGATGGTTTTTGTCTTTACATTAAATGCAGCAGGTGTCTCACTTATAGACCCTTTTTGCAATGTACCCCCCACTTGATGCCTTCTTTCTCGGAGAAGATCTACAATGGCCTGCCTCTCAGAATCTGACAAATTTGTCTTCCTGCGGACTGGAACTAGTGTAGTGGTAGTGGTATCCATTTTGCTTTTAATGTGTAAGCTGCAAACCTTTAGTGAGGTTGTTGTAAGACTTTATTTAAGGTCTGAGAGATTCTATTTAAAGGGCCTGCCTTGTGTACTGCAATTGTTGTACTGTTTTTAACTTTTGGCGGTATTTAAAAAATTCAAGTGTTAGAAGTTGAAGTTTCAATTCAATATTTTCACTTATGGCGCTAAAGTTGGCGGGTGAAAGAGCTTTATACGAGTGCTTGGTTATTTAACTTTTCATTTTGTGAAATGGTTTCAGAATGGTGGGGTCCAAGTGTTTTAAGATTCTCATATTTTTCCAAAACTGTGGGACAAGAGCTCTGTATTATTGATGTTGCCTTTTCAAAAAGTAATTAAACAGTATTGCTTGCAGACCCAATACCCATTATCTATTGCTTTATGAAGTGTCTTAGGGGTGTTTGGAACTGATTCTGCTTCTGCTTCTTTTTTAAAAGCAGAAGCAGAATCAGAATCAGAAGCTGGTACCCCCCAGCTTCTAAAAAAACTGATTCTGAGAGTAAATTAGAGTTCTAGAAGTGCTTCTGGAATTTCACCCAAACACTCCAGCTTCTGCTTCTGCTCCCTGAAGGAGCAGAATCAGTTTTGAGAATCAGATCCAAACACCCCCTTAATATGCGTGCCACTCCCATCCGTCCCAAACATAAGGGGACGGAGGGAGTAGTCCTTAGGAGTAATGATTGTATATACATTTGTGAGTTCTACTGTCCTCCTAGACTAAAAAGCAGTAAAGGTCTAACTAAGAATGTATTTACTTGGATGTAACTTGTCCCAGATTAGACCAGACCAGATCAGACCAAACAAGACTAGACCAACCAGACTTGGATAATTATAAAAATACAAAGAGACCAAACATTACCAGACCAGATCAATTCAGACCAATTCAGACCAGATTAGACCAAACCAGCAAATTACAGTCCAAGTAAAAACATCCTAAAAAATACGGAGCAAGTAAACATACTAACCAACGGCCAAATGAGCTGCAAGTAAATCGGTCCATAAATACTTAATATTCCCTCCCTTCAAAATTTAACTTCTCATTCACACGGTAAACTTAAATTTTGTTTTATATATCAAATTTTCAGTGTAATTTCTGAATATATAAATTTTATTTATTAAAAATAATCCGAATGTATAGTTCTTTATTGCTTTGTTAGTATTATACAGTTCGTGAATAATTGTACAATAATATGTACGTTTGTGTATAACATGATACAAAATACAATTATATAAAATACGGTTAAATATATGTTTTATACGTTGGTAGAATGAATAAAGATACAAACTTGTTTCAAACGTTTCACAATTTAAAAATACGGCATATAATACATGTCTTGTATACTAATTTAATGATGAGAGTTAAGAGTAAATTAGCATATGCATCACATTCTTCAACAGTTTAAAATGTACGGAATAGTTTTTTCAGATATACGAATTTGAATTCATAGGTACAATAAGTAATAAAAATGATATTGCCTATTTATGTAAAAGTAGAGAGATATTTCTAGAAAATAGTTTATATTACTGTGGCCGTATATTTGGCGAGCCTCTGTAATATTCTTTTCTGTTTGGAATCTTGATATGAGTGAAGAACAAGAGTAACACAATAGTAGTCCAATAGTAATATTGAAACGAATTATGACTTTAAAAAGCTAATTTATTAAATCTGATGAATTAATAGTGTTGAGCAATAACTAGACACAATAATTTTTTAAGCAATATAAATAGTATTGAGCAACTAGACGTTTCGCTTCAGTTGTAGCACTCCATTAGACTTGAGTTTAATAGTGTTTTTTTTATATAAAATATGTAACAATACGTACGGTACGCATATAATACATTTTATGCTTAAAGTACGTGTATAAATACTGAAAAATTCATAAATAGAAGAATTATACGCGAATTATACGTTTGAGTGTATTATAAGTGAATTGTACACGTATAAACTATAAACTAATAGAGCTTTATTGTCAGTCAAGCTAATCCAAATGAGAAAGTCTTCAAAGTAGGGGTGGGTTCGGTTCTTGCGGTTCGGTTTTGACCTAAAACCAAATATATAATCAAAGTAAAAAGTTCGGTTCGGTTTCGGTTCGGTTTCACACTCCAAAACTTGGAACCACGGTTTGATTGGTTTGGTTTGTTTTGATTCGGTTTCGGTTTTTTACCAAAAAAATATCATTTGATTTAAAATTGATATAATACTTTGAGGGATCAAACATATACATAAAGAATGCAAACACACTACAATAAATAAAATAAAAAAGAAAATGAATAAATATGTCTTGAATTATATGAGTATGCGAGACTGCGAGAGAGATAAAAGTATATATATTATTAATTTACATTGTTTGTGACTAGTTCAAAAATAGTTCATGAGTATATATGTTCTATGAGATATAGTTGATCTGGGATGAATATTTGTTGAGAGAATTCCCTGTATATGAGCAAAAACGTTTTCAAATTCCAAAATAGGACTATCATGTTTTTTATTCTCTGGATAGAAGTAAATTTCTGCCAAGTTTGACATTATTAGGCTTTAAACATGGCATTTTTTTCTTCCAAATTTGGCAGATTACTCATGTTCAAGGAATAAAAAACATGATAATCCTATATTGGAATTTTAAAACGTTTTTACTCCTATTTAGGGCAATTTCTGATATTTATTGTTTCATCAATATGAATTCTTTAAGTTAAATACAAATAAAAGTTAATTAACTAGTAAAAACATATTATCATCATTCAGTATAACTACATTATTACAGACAATGAATGTGTAAATGAATTTATAAACTAAAAAAACTAATCTAAAATAAACATAACATAAACATTATTTCTCTAGCACAAGAAAACCAAAGACTATTAATGATATTAAGATTAGTTAGGATTAATGCATAACAATTGACAAATAAATTTTATATTTTAATTAGTTCAGTTTGTTCGATTCGGTTTTGAAGGGTAAAAACCAAAACCGAACCAAACAACTACGGCTCGATTCGATTTTTAAAATTCGGTTTTGGTTCGTTGAGGTTTGTTTTATTTGATTACGATTCAGTATGATTTGATTCAGATTTCGGTTTTTCGGACCCAGCCCTACTTCAAAGGACGGAGATAGTAAGAGGTGGTTTATTCGGTAGTCTGTGATGAAATCAACCGGGCAAAAGGATAACACAAAATACTCCAAAAAATATGGCCCATGCAGGTCTCGAACCTGCGACCTTCGCGTTATTAGCACGACGCTCTAACCAGCTGAGCTAATAGGCCTTTGTAATGATGAAGTGTTTTTTAAGTATATAACTTCTGTTTTCAGGGATCGAAGTATGAAACTTTACAAAATCATTCATCCCTTTCCGAATTTTCGTTCAAGGGTTTTAAGCATTTTAGACTGGAGTCGCACGGTCAAATCCCACGGAGATCGTAGAGAGAGAGGGGAGCATTTGCAGAGAAATGGCGAAATCGTCAACCAGTAAGGATGTTCAAGCACTCTTCCAATCTCTGCGTTCTGCTTATGCCGCCACCCCTACTAACCTCAAGGTACGTACATCTTCCATTCTTCCTCCCTCTTATTCGTATGTTTTCACCTAGTGTTTTCGGAGATGTGTCTGAATCAGCAATTGTGTTTTTTCCTTTGCAGATCATTGATCTCTATATCGTGTTTGCTCTCTTTACCGCTCTCATTCAGGTGATTTGTCGAGTTCTGCCGTTTACAGATTTTCCATTTGCTAGTCTTTTAGTGCAGATCTGTGAATTCGCCATTTTTGTTTTTGTTTTGGTTTGTCCCATTCTATGAGTCAACCTTCAAATTATTCATGGTCAACGCATGGAGTTATTTGCAATTGAGTCCAGAAGATGTTATGATATCATTGGTTTTGTGGTAGAATTTATTTCCAACTAGAGATTGTTATCTCCAAGAGCAATACTTGACATCGAATAGGACAGATAGATCCATGAGACTATGAGAGTGTTGTGTGACTTGGTTAGATTATTTTTTAAATGTCTTTTTCCGTAGAAATGTTTATTATCTGCTTTAACTTCCTGTTTGAGTTAGATCTTTTACAAAATGACATTTCTTTTGGAGTCTTAAGTTGTGTCTATTACAATGTGTCAAACTGTCAATGTAACCTGTGGCCTTCTGTACCCATTTTCAAGAAAAGAAAAACAAGATTTTAAGAATATATATTTTATTTTTTTCTATTTATTACCATGGAAATTGAAATATGAATGTTGTTTTAAGGTCATTCACATATGGTTTGCAGTTTTGAATCTCTTAGTCCTTACATAATAGAATTAGATAAACAAATTGAGTCAGAACAAATATAAAATAAAGCGAGTTTGAGAAAATGTCTCATTTTACCTCACGTTTTATTTTGTTCTAAATTTCCCTTACACATTTTCTTACCCTAACTTTTTCCGAGTTCCAACTTCCAAAGGGACCCTAAAAGTACTGTCTCCGTATGGATAGATCATAGATGCACTGTTTTTAGAGATTGTTTTATAAAATAATTCAGTATGGTCTGACTTGTCCTTTTCTTTGTAACTAATTTTCAACTTTTATGCTCATGTTTTGTTTAGCATTGATGCCTAGTTTGTCTTGACCTGAAATATTCATAACCTTGTAGCCATTTATGTATCTGCAATTGTTGTTCATACTACCAGGTCGTATATATGGCCATTGTTGGAACATTTCCATTCAATTCCTTTCTCTCAGGTGTACTTTCTTGTATAGGGACAGCAGTCCTAGCTGGTGAGCACTGTTATCTACATTTTCACTGCAATTAAAATCTTATGGTAAGAATTAGTTAATAATGAAGGATTTGGATTCTTTGTTCACAGTTTGTCTTAGAATCCAAGTTAACAAAGACAACAAGGAGTTCAAGGTAAGCAGTCTCTTAGCGAGTTAGCGCTCCTCAACTAGGCAAATCTTTTAATTATTTAAGCCCTACGAAACGGAAAACTGAGAATTCATTCTCCTATGAATTATTTCAAAGCTCACAAACCTAACTAGGAAAGTAACTCG